AATCGAGTCTTGCCACCAGGCACCCCTGGAGCCAGCAGTGGCACCAGGGTGAATGGCAGGGGGGATGGACTCACTTACAACCCAAAACTGGGGGTCAGAGATTGAGCCAACCCCACCATGTTTCCCACCATTGCTCCTAGGCACCCCCAGGCATGGCTCCTCTGCAAGAAAAGAGGGAACTAAGGAATGGCCAGGGAGAGAGAAAATTTCAGGAATTGGCGGGTTCCTTGTGAGGTCACTAAAGGATGGGTTGCCTAGGGATTAGTGGAGGCTTCAGTGCTGTCATAAGTCGTGGCTTAAGAGCAGCTCACTAAGGACCCTTTACCCAGCTTTCACCCACTCCCCCGATGACCGAGGCCTTGATGGAGAAGCCCTATGTCTCCCACACACAGCACCTGCCCAAGACAGCCTGGGACAAACTGGGCCGTGGGCACAAGATGATCCGAGCTGCAGGCATGGAGGAAACTGGGCAGGGGAAGGGAAATCAGACTGCGGATATGGGAGAAACAAGGTGTGGGAAGAACACAAGGAGGAAACCTACATGCATGAGCTGAGAGAACTGAAAACATCAGACTGCAGGTTGAGAGAAAGCAGGTGGCAGGACTGGAGACTGGGACAGGCTGTAAAAGGAACTGGGCTGCAGCCATAGCTGCGCCGTGGGCTCTGGGCCTCACAGAGGAAAGGATGTGGAGAAACTGGCTGCAGGTATGGAAGGCAACAGGTTGAGGGAATGGAAAGCAGGCTCAGAAGTCAGGCTGTGGGCATGAGAGGAAGTGAAGTGGAAGCAGAGAGGGAAAGGAACAGGGCTGTGGGGATGACAGGCATGATGATTCCAGTCAGGGTGTGGAGAGAATTATAGGAATTGAGGAATTCAACCCAGGCTGTGGCTCCGTGAGAATCTGAAAAACCACCTCAGGCCTCGACTGCCTCAAGCTCTGGTGTGCATGGTGCATGGTGCATGGGTGGCACGTGCATGGCTGACACAGGAGGGTTGAGGAGGGCTGGGGGCAGGCAAGGGGAGTTGCAGTCAATGTAATCATTGGTCCCCAAGGAGTTCATTTCTAATCAACCAGCTCATGTTTCCAGCATCTCTGAGGTCTGAGGTCACTAGCAGAGAAGGAAGTTCACCCTTTGATGCTCACAGACATCTCTGGAACCAAGATCTTTCTAGAATGTGCCTTTCTCAGGTGCCTTGGGGTCTTTAACAAAGGTTTCCTAGGACAAGGAAAGGGTTCACATATCAAATGCCAGGGATTGTCCCAAATATTCTGTCCTGTTGCTCCATAAACCAGCAAATACCAAAATTACCAGCACCTTGGTAGCCAAAACACACCTCCCTGGGGCTTCTGTCAGGCCGAGGCGCTGGCGGCCACTGGGGAGAGCACCACTCACCCTTGCACTCGGCAGCCCCTGGCTGCAGAGTCCTTGACTCCTCTGCTTCAAGGAATAAGAAGCTCAGGCTTTGATGCTAACAAATCTGGGTGTGAATCTATCTATCTACCACCTAGAGATGGCCTGAGGCACGTCACTCAAAACCTGTTTTCCACCTGTGGAATGGGGACAGGACCCTTCCTCCCAGGGCAGCATGAGATTACATGTCCCAGAATGTGAAGGGTTTGACAAACGTTGCATCTGTTCCCTCTTCCTAGCTCTCCTGTCTTCTCCCCTCGATGCCAAGGGATCAGCCATTGCTTTTCCAGGTGCCTCAGCCTCACTGTCCACACTGATGGGCTTGGTCTGCTCCAAGGGGCTACTGCCCTTAGAGGGAGGGGGCCAGGGAAATAACATCCCAGAACCAAGGGGGACTGACTGAAGAGGTGGACAGGCCCAGAAGTTAAGGATGCGATCATAGAAGGAGGTAAAGAAGAGGAGGCATTCCCCACAAGGCTCAGCAGGAGCCCAGGCTGCATTAATAGAGATATAATGTGCAAAGAATGGGAGGTGAGGGTCCTGCTCCATCTACTCTGCTTCCTCCATGGCAGCTAGGCCTGTCCGGATGTTCTCAGGAGATGAAGTGGCAGGAAGGGCTGGAGACACTGGTGGGGGTGGTGTGGGAGCTCAGGTTAGGCCCCTCGGCTGGGAACACATTTCTGCTGCCTGTCTCTGCAGGGCATCTATGTTCTGTGGCCCTCGAGGCACAGCTGGGACCCACAGAGGTGTCACAAGACATTCTCGCTGAATCTGGGCAAGAGCCTTCTGCCAGGCAGAAGTACCCCTTTAGGTCTAGGGCAGCCCTGTGGGAGGACTAGATGAGCTCTCCTCTCCCAGGGGTGTGCAAACAAGGGCTGGCAACTGGGCCAGGAGGTGGAAACTCCTACCATAGGTCACAAGCCTCTGTAGCCCCTCCCTGGTGTTTTAGGATCAGGACGGTAGCAAGGCCCTTCTGATAGCCCCGGAACCCTCTCTAGGGTTAAAAAGAGGGTGGCTCCAGAGCTGACAGGAGATGAGGACCAGTACTCTAATTCAAATCTAGGGGCCTCTGTTATTGGCTCCTCCGCCTCCACACTGAGTCGTCTGGAAAATTCTAGAGCATCACATTGATGGGGGACTCCTACTTTAGGAAGAGGACTCTGGGAGAGGTGTGGGAATGAGGGGCAGGAACCTAGGCCACAAGCCCAGGGTGGGGCCAGTGCTGATAGGCGAGGGGGCAGGGAACCATGCCTGGAGACGGCCAGGAGCTCTGGCTTGTCCTCATGCTCCCCCCAGGCTCACTCGGCCCCCAGGTGGTGTAAGGCAGCTGGCAGCTGGCCCACAGCTACTCACGGTCTCAGGGGCCCCGCTCCACGGCCTCTGGCTCTGTTTGATAGAGGATCAGGGTTACAGAAGAAGGAGGCCCAGGTCCAGAGCCAGGACGGTGTGTGTTGTGGTGCGTGGTGGGGTGTGGCATGTGTGTGCAAAAGATGTTGGGGGAAAGGTTGTCAGGATAGGGTCTGGCCTGGGAAGACACCCAGCATGTGGACAGGATGGGCCCACAGGGGACATGACCTGTGCAGCAACAAGACATGCCTAGGCCACAAGTTGGGCTGTCACCATGTAGCATGTGCCTGTGTATGTCATAACAAGGCACAGGCACAGGTCTGATATAATGGCATCCAGGTTCCAGGGCCTAGTGGGGCTATAGAACAGAGCAGAGTAGCCACCCAGGGCCACTGCTATATTGGCCCAAGACCCCTCAATAGAGACGCTCCCACTGGCAAACCCAAGGGAACACCTGTGCATGGGTGTCTGTGCACACTCTGGTGCAGGGCCCTTCGCAAGGCAGGACCCAGCAGGGCCACTCACCCGGATCTCCTTGTAGAGCCGCAGGCAGCTGCTGTTGAGGATGAAGTAGCGATCGTGGAAGCCACCTGAGGGCAGGCCCAGGCCCAGGAGGCTGCGGTCCTCGCGGAACTTCATCATGCCATGCTTGGTGTCACCCACATGGCTGGCTGGGGAAGGACTGGAGTGGGCATGGACTGCACAAACCTTCTACCCGTGGGTCCAGACACCCAGGGTAGGGTCCTGAGATGAAGGAAAGTGCCCCATCCTACCCCAGCCTCTGAAGAGGTCTGCCCGTCTGGTGCCCACTGCCTGAGCACCACACATCACACCGCCAGGTCCTGCCACCCACCCAGCTACACCCATCCAGGTACACCACCTACCCAGGTACAGCAGCATGGCCTCCATGGATTGGTACTTCTTCACCACCAGGTAGCTGTCTATGCCCAGCCCGTGCAGGATGGGCAGCACCTTCTCCGAAAAGTGCAGGGGGCGCTCTGGGGAGAGGGCACACCCATTGTCACCAGAGTCACGTGGCGTGACAGCACTGAGGGCTGGCACATGGACACACATCACTTTTGCCCATGCTGTTCCCCCTCACTGCCGCCTAGCACCACCGCAATCACCATGACCTCCTCCCACACCCGAGCTTCAGGCATGACACATCCTGCTGGCACCACAGCTGCTCGACCCAACGTGTCCAAACCAAAGTGGTGAGCTTTCCTATTGTCCTCGTGAGGAAACAGCCCCACCCCCCAGGCCGCCCAGCCAAAACCACCCCTCCTCCTTCTCAGCTTCCCTCCACAGACAAGTCTCCCTGCTTTTGTCCGGCTCCATTGCTGTCTCCTGGCCATGTTACCATCTTCTCCTCAGACTCATATTGTGGCCTTCGAAGTGGTCCCCTGCATGAGCTCTCACTCCCATCTCCCCCAGCTCTCTCCACCAGCAAGGAGAGAGCTTTTCAAACTCCCAGTCACTACCCTTCGCTGGCCTCGCACTGTCGTCAGGCCCTGAGTGGCCACCTCTCTCTGTATCACAGCCCACCAGTGCCACCACCCCTCACGGCCCTGAAGCTCACTGAAAGGGCGCTGTCTCTGGCCATCACAGGGCCTTTGCCCATGCTGTTCCCCCTCTTCACCAAGTAACCCCTTTTCTTCACATCCAAAGTCAGAGACCCTGTTATAAGTTCTGGTGGTGTGGTGGCCCTTTCCTGAACAGCAGCAACACAGCTGTAGTTGTACATTTACTGATATGCTCACAGGATTAATATCTCTGTTCCATACCAGACTAACCCGTAGGAGGTAGAGACTGTATGTTGGCCTAGAACTCCACAAATAACAGTAAAAATGAACAGAGATACCCTCACCGTCCACAGCCATCAAGATCACCCTTCACCCTAAAATGCCTTTATCACCCCCTCCTTCACTACCATAGCCTCTTCATAACACCAACACAACTATCCTTACCTACACCCCCACCCCACCCACCCCATGGTCATCACCACCCACTGTCCCCTTCACCACCAACAAGGTCACATGATCAACCCCATGATCAAATTCAGCACCTTTACCATTGCAAGCAACACTATTCTCATTGAGACCTGAGAGAACATCGTCTTAGCTAACACCATATACCCCTTTACTGTCCCTCCCATCAGCAGCACTATAACCGTGACCTCAACCCCACCAGCACCGTTACCACCATTACTGAGATCATAGGTGACAACAATCTGTCATCCCAAACCCCCTTCACCACCACTGTCCCCACACTTCAGGGTAAGGGAAGACACACTGGGGCTGCAGCCCAGACAAGGACACGCTGGCACCATATCCTGGTGGTCACCCACCTGTCTCCTCCCTCTCATTGACCTCAAAGCAGGTCCAATAGTCCTTCTCCCTGATGCTCACATTCCTGCGATCCAGAATCTCCAGGGTCAGCTCCTCAGCTGTCATGGATGCTGGGATCTGTGATGACCGAGAGGGGATCAGCCTCCCCTATCCCCTGCCCCACCACAACCTGGCTGTACGATCCAGCCCTCCCCTCTCAGGGCTCTCTGGAGGCCTAGGATGCAGGGGGGTGTCTCTGAGTCACCCTGATGAGCTGGGTGGGGAGGTAGGGAAGAGACAGGCCAAGCACCACCCAGATGCAGGTCCCAACCCGGGGCTCCCTTTGGGATAGAAGCCCTGCTCCCCCAGCCATCTGAGCCTGTGCCTGGCCCAGCCTGACTCTTCTGGTCGCTTGGCTTCTAGGTCCCGGGCCCCCACCTTGATATGCTGCTCAGCCTCTGCTTTCTTCTCCTCCAGGTACACAGTGCAGATGAAGTCACCGGCGTGCTGTAAGGAGACAGGGCTGGATGCCTGAGGTGTGGGTGCAGGTGGATGGCCTGGGCCCCCCACCCCAGGTCCTGTCCTTCACCTGTGTCCCACTGGCAGTGCCAGCCACACGCATCTTTACAATGGCGGTGATCTCTTCCCGCTGCTTCCTCAGCTCCTCCTCGTCCACCTGGGAAGGGGGCAGGGGCAGAGACAGATGGTCACTGCTGCACGGGAGGCTCAGCCCTGCCCTCCACCCCCACAGGCTAGGGACGCACACTGAACACCACCACATAGTGGTTGATGAGGTCTTCCACCACGTGGCCAGCCTTGTAGTCCTGCCCATCCGTCTGGAAGAGCGTGGGCCCAAACACGATGGCCAGGTTGTGTGTGTTCATCTGGTTCGTGTCGGAGAAGCACTGGACGCTGGACAGGGAAGGACGGAAGCTTTGAGTGAGGAGTCCGGCCCACCTCACCTTCCCAATTCCTGACAGGACTATGACTGGAGAGAGCCCAGGAAAGATCCTGGTCGGAGCAGAGCTAATTAAGGGGAAGTGGGGACAATCTTTTTGGCCATGTCTTGGGTCCTTGGGAAGAGTAGGGCTGGGAAGCTGGAGACCTGGTCAAGGTCTCTATTCTCCCAACTGCAGGAAGTTGGGAGACAAAGTGTCCAAGATTAGGGCACCTCATAAGTCAACACTCAGTTCCCAGGCCTACCTGGTTCCCAGGGGAGGGCAGTCAACAGGGCTGGGATAGAAGAATCTTCTCTACCTCATTCCCCCCGAGCCTTGCAATAGTAGTGCTCCTCACCAGTACAGATGGCTGATCAGGGCCTTCACTGTGGCCCGGTTGACTGGTGGCAGACGTGCCAGGAGCCCTCGGTACCTGGAGATCTTCTCCTCCTCATCCTCAATCTCTGGGTTGGGGAAGATAGATGAGGTCAGGACCCTCCCTGCCCCCTCCATCCGTAACCACCCCCCCTTCCCAACCCTCTGGCTGCTCTGCCTCTTACCCCAGGAAACAGTACTCCCTGCCCCCTCCAGGGCAAATCCTACCAGGCACTCAGGAGTTGCCAGCAACGTATAGAGTGACAATAGGAATGAGAAACAGGAGGGAGGGGGACTGGAGGCTGCCTGCTGGGGCACGTTTAGCCCAAGTGCATACTGGGGAGGGGCTGGAATCCTGAGACAGGAATGGACAAGTCAGCAGCACTGGCCTGGATCTCACTAGGCTCGGATGTAGAGCCCACCTGAAGCCTCCAGCCAGAACAGGCGCTGGGCTCGAGTGAAGAGCCCATCAGGCAGGTCTCGCAGGAAGCGTTTGAGCGCTGAGGAGACGTTGTCCACATGTTGCTCGCCCTCCTTGAGGCGCACAGAGCGAGCATCCTGCCGCAGGCTCTCCAGCAGCTGCTGTGTCTTCGAAGTCTGTCCACTCTTGCGGTAGATTCCCTCGGAGGTCAGGCCTGGAGAGGGGTGGGGCTGAGCTGGGGGTGGACAAAACTGAGGGCCTAAGGCATTGGTCATGGGGTGGGGCCTCCCAGCTACTTTCACGGGGACTCTGGGAAGGTGCGGCTTGGCCTCTGGGACAGGGCTCACCACACTGTGTGATGTAGTCCACGCAGCGGTACACTATCACTGGGATGTCCGAGTCTCCCAGCTGCTGCTCCGACAGTGTATCCCCCGAGCTGGCCGCTGCTTTCTGGATGGACCCCAGCCAGCCCGCAAAGTCCAGTCGCCGTTCTCCCTGGATATACAGTGTCCTGTATATTTCACAGGGACAGTCAGTCACTTGGGGTTTAACCCTGCCCCGCCCCTCCCAGGCTTCTCAGAGCCCCTCAGGGAGGCCAGGGCTCACCTCCTTCTCTCCACCAGCACCAACACCTGGTTCTCGCTGTCCCCTTGGACGGCTGTGGAGGAACCAGGAGAAGTGAGGCCTGGGCCTTGTTCATGGTCCCCAACTTGCTCCCTCCTGAGGCTCTCTGAACACACACACCCCCAGGACCCACCCGCCAGCATATGGGGTCACAGGGTAGCATTCAGACTTCCAGGGAGGGGCTGGGAGCCTGGGAGCCCAGGATCCGGTGCCCTGCAGGTTGGGGCCCCAGGGCTGGATCCACGCACAAAGCTCCTGCAGTTTCCGCAGTTGCAATGGCTCCTCGCAAGGCCCCTCTGGGAAGATGGCATGGAGCTCGGAGCCGGTGAGAGAGAACCAGCCCTCCTGGGCCCGCTGCAGGCTCAGGCCAGCTTTGTAGGGTAGGCGCCCAAGCCGCTCAAAATCCCGGGCCAGCAGATCCTCAGCCAGGGGAGGCACGAACGCCTGTTGGGGAAGACCAGAAACTGCTTCGGCCATCAGCACTACCTGCCCAGACACCTTGGCTTGTGGGTGCAGCCCACTGCCCACCCAGCTGCCTCCTCTGTCTTCCCCAGGGCAGAACCCAGCAGAGTGGATGAACTCAGGTGTATTACGCCCCATATCAAACCCATTCAGATGTGCCGTCCTCTGGAAAACCTCCCGACACCAGAGAAGGATGTCCTTCTCTGTGCCCCAGGGTGCCAAAGCTTCCCTGCCCTCTGCTGTGGCACTGATTATACTGTCATTGCTATCCGGACCCTATCTGTCTTCCCCATCAGCATGGAGCACCTGAAGAGCCAGGACCAAGACATTCATCTGGGTCCCCAGGGCTCTGAGGAATGACCATCAGGAGCCCATAGACGACTGAGCAATGACCAAGGGAATGATAAAAGTCACCGGCCCTCATAGCACGGGGACCCCAGAGGAGCCTGGCTGGAGTCCCCAGGGCAGAGCTCTCCTCTGCAGGCTCCCTGCCTCCTTCCTCCAGGACAAGGAGACCACGGGAGTCGGCACTGTCCATCCTAAGACGGCTCTGCCTGCCATTCATTATTACACATGTATTGAGCACCTATGGAGTACAAGGCCCACATAGTTGAGACAGGTTTCTCAACCACCCCCAGAGTGCTGCAGATTGTGCTAGGCCCTGGGCCTGAGAGCCTTCCCTGTGTCGGCTGCCCTCCATCCTGGGGGAGCTGGCATATATGGGATCCACCAGGAGGTCCCACCATACGCCCTGTAGGACTCCCTCCCACCCTCCGGCTAACCAGGCCCACCTTAGCAATGCACTTGACCCACTCACGAGCCAGGTCCGCACTCTCCAGTCCAAATAGATATAGTCGCTCTCCCTCCGTGTACACCTCAAAGGTGTGCTCAAAGCTGTAGATACACAGGCCAGGATTCAGCCCCCACCCCAGCCCAGCCCCCCATCACTGCTACTCTCTGCCCCACCCCATGACTGCCCTTGTGAGTGCCCTTCACCTGGCCCTCTAAGAGTTGGTGGGAAAGCCCAAGTTGGGGCCTCAGGGGACTGTGTGACTGAGGAGGTCCTGCCTCTCTCTGGGCTTCTTCCCAATGGGGTAATGGTGGGGGGTTAGATCTTATAGGAATAATAGTCTGTGATTCTGCCCAGGGGTGCTCACCCGTGGGTGTCAGGAGGGGACACTGCCAGGCACACAATCTCGCTGGCCCGAATCTCCCCGTTGGGGGTCACTGCCCGCTCGTTCTCATAGTAGCTCAGGACCCCATCACTAAGGACACACCAGCGTCGGCTGAACTCTGGGGAGAAATTGGTCAGGGGAACCATGAGAGAGGCACCCACCCTCACCTAAAAACCACCTCTGCATCCTCTCTGGGCTCCCACACCTACCTGGTCCATGTCCTCTTCATTCTAACTCACAAGCTTCCCCCAATCCCACCCTCCTCTCTGCAGCCCTGTGACCCAGCCCAGCCCAGCCCAGCCTCTCCCCAGGACCACTGCAGTGGCCTCTTCACTGCTCTTCCAGCCTCGCTTCTTCCAAGAGTCAAAAGTGATCTAGCCCTGGCCAGTGTGCTCAGTGGTTAGAGTGCTGCCCTGCACACCAAAGGGTCTTGGGTTCAATTCCTAGTCAAGGGCATGTACCTGGGTTGCAGGTTCAATCCCCAGCCCTAGTTGAGGCGCATGTGGGAGGCAACCAATTGATGTGTCTCTCACATCAATGACTCCCTTTCTCTCTCCCCAACCTCCTTCTTCCACTGTCTAAAAATCAATGGAAAAAATATCCTTGGGTGAAGATTAATTTAAAAAAAAGTGCTCTAGCAAAACCAGATTCTGTGCTTCCTCAGCTCAAAACTCTTCCATTACCCATCCCACCCCCTTGTCCTCAGAACAAAGTCTGTGGCCCTCGGCCTGGTATTCAAGGCCCTGCTGGGTCTGCCTGTTCCCACCGCTCCAGCCCCCTTTCTGGGCACATACCCCACCTCCCTTCTTTTCTCATCCTGTTCCCTCTCTGCACCCATCATCCTTCAAAGCCAGTTCAAATGTCATAAGAAGCCTCCCATGTGCCCCTCCCTCTCCTGCACCCACCTTCCTTTGCCAGCAGCACCCATTACTCTATACTCTGCCTCCTCTTATAATTGCTCCAAGGACTCTGACAAGATTCCATAAAGGAACAGAAATAGGAATCTGGGCCAGGAAAGGTAGGAGGAAGAACAGAATGTCAAGGTCATTCAGACTCATGAAGCATTGAACTTTACACTGGCTCGGGGCTTCCTGGAATCCAGGACAAAAAAGGATGACTCGGGCAGCTACATAAATGACACCATCAGGCAGAGAGAGGTAGACTGGACAGTGCCTCAGGGAGAGCGAGGTGATGTGCAGCACAGAGCTCCAAAGAAATCTCTCTGGGAGTTGGAGGGCCTCAACAGGGGATGCTGAGGGATGCGGTGAGCAACGGTCTTGACAGTGTTCCCACCGTGGACTCTGTCTCTCATCCTACCTACAAGAGCATGGCACTGCCCTCTGACGGTGATGTGTCCCAGAACTGCCTCCCAAGGCTGAGCTCCCTCTAAGAGGACAAGCCTTGCCTCAGTCACCCTTCAGCCTGCAGACATTTGCCAAGTAAGTGCCCACTGGGTACAAGGCACTGTTCTAGGCTCAGGGCTACAGTGGTGACCAAGAGGAGCTTATGTTTCAGTGGGGCACAGAGAACCAATAAACAGACCTATAAACAGATTAATGTCAGATAAATGGTAGGAGAGTAGGATGAAAGCAGGGTAAATAGGGAGGGCTATCTTGGGTAAAATGGTTCAGGATGAAGTCTCTAAGGAGTGACATTTAAACAGAGACCGGAAGGAAGTGAGGGACTGACCATGCAGATACTTGGAGAAAAGCATTTGGGGCAGAGGGCTAGTGAGTGCAAAGGCCCTGGTGGGTGTGAGTATGCATGTCTGAGAACCAGCAAGGCCAGTAAGGCTGGAGTAGAGTGAGGAGAGGAGTGAGGTCAGGGAGGTAATGGAGCATGACATGGAGGTGCTCGTAGGGAGTGTAAGGACCGTGTATATACTCAGAGTTGGTGAGCAAATGGAAGACTGAGATAAGAGAGGGTCGGTGCTTTAAGCTTAGTTCTCAAACTTCCTAATATCCACCGACTCCAAATGCCAGATGCCCAGCACAGGGCCCATACCAGTAGGTGTTCAATAAAGGCTTCTTTAGTCCAAAGGAAACAGGCAGTGCTGGGCTCTACAGAGCTGTGCCCTACTGACATCCTGATCGTGCCATTTATTAAGCACCTACTGTGTACCAGAGACCACATCTGGGAAGCCCTCCTGGTTGACTCTGCCAGGGTGCACATGGCACCCTCATGGGCCCACCAACCTGTCCAGCACTGGCTTTTCTGGCCTTGCTGCCATGCCAGAATGGCACCTTCCCAGGCACCCACCTTCCCGGGCACGGCGGTCCTGCAGCAGCTTGGCAGCAGAAGCGGTCTTGTAGAGGAAGCCACTGTGGCTCACAGTTGGCAGGACAACAGAGTAGTGCTTTTCCAGGGGCTTCATCAAATCCAGCCGAGGTACCTCTTTGGGGAAGGGGGTGGGGGTGTAGAAAGGCTGGTCATACTTGCCATCCAAGGGGCAGCCCATCACCCACACCTGGGTTGGGCATCCAAGCTTGACTTTAAGTCACCAGGCCCGGATCCCTGACTAGCACCCTCAGGATCTCACTGCCACATCCAGGATTTTGCCCCAGCCGTTCTCCAATTCTCCCCCTCATGTGCAAATTCCACCCTGCTCCCAAGGCCCAGCTCCAGTACCAGGAAGTCTCCCTGACTCCCCAGCCCGGCCCACCCCACCCTCCCTGTTGCCTGTTGAGGCAAAGGGCCAGCACACTAGAATGAGGGGGGCCTTGGGCAAACTCGATAACAATTCCCAAAGGGAGGTTTATCCCTGATGAGGCAAAGCCTAAGGAAGCAGCCTGGCTGCTTCAGTCCCAAAGCCCGAGCCAGCTGGGTGGTCTCCTGTGTCTTCCTGGACACCTGGGCTCTCTCCAGCCCAGCGCACCCCACCCACCCGTGGCCCTGAGCCCGGAGCCTTGGCCGAGGAGCTCCACCCTCAGTCCTAGGATGTGGCCCCAGAGGCCAGCGCTGGGCCATGACCAGCAGCCCTCAACCCCACTGTCTCCTCCTCATCCACCCCAAGAGCAGAAGCCAAATGGAACCCAACCCGTCTGTGACAGAGACCCAGACAGAGCAGTGGACAGGGCTGCTATTGTAGGTCACCTGCACATGGAGAAATGCAATACCCCCCGCCCCCCCCACCCCCCCCACACACAGAAAAACCGACATAGCAAAACAGACATAGTCTGCACAAACCCCAAAGCCCTCAACACTCCCAGGTGCACAGAAACAGACCCACAGCAACTCAGAGACGCACAGATGCGGGCACACAGATGCAGTGCTGAAGGCCCACACTATAGGTCAGGGAGAGACCCACAAAGACACAAAGATGCAGAGACAGAGACACAAAGGGACACATGTATAAAGAAGAAGCCAGATGCACAGACAATGACATGCAAACCCAAACACACCCCAAAATCACACACACTGTTATATCAGGACCCTCAAGGAGCTGCAATTACAGCTGGAGTGGTATGTAATCAAACCTCACAAGGAGACACACAGCCCCCAGACCCCACTGGCATCCCTTCCAAAGGCCCAGACCCCAGCAGCAGGGAGGCTCCATCCCTCAAGGACTGCCCCACCAGTTGCTCACCTGTGGTCCGGTTGTTCCGAAGGAATTCCATCTGCAGTGTCTGCCCCGCCTGCTCGGCAAGAGCTAGGGGTGTGGGAGCCTCTGGGTCCCCTGAGAAGCAATTGACCCCAGCTCCACAGCCCAGGAGCGCCTGGGTCTCGGCCAGGTCTGTGGTAGTGACTGCGGCACACAAGGCCTGGGAGGGGCGAGGAGGGAGGAAAGGGTCAGTCCCAGCAGGAGTGTGGGGCCAGTGGGGAAAGAGTATGGGGGGAAGAGATAGGAAGGATGAGGAAGGAGGCACCCAGGTCTAGGGGGACCCATCCTCAAGTTGGAAGAGAGACGACGGAGGAAGAAACACAGAAGAGAGGAGGAAGAAGAGAAAAGCCCAGGGAGAGAGGGCGGTCAGGGGCTGCCCAGCAGAGACCAGGATCCCAGCACCCAGGGCTCACCCCTGCTGCAGCCCCAGGACCCTGTCAGCTGCCAAGCCTGCTCTCAGGAGGAGCTCAAGCTCCCTCTGCCTTGTGGAAGGGCAGAGGGGGTTGCTTTGTAGCTAATTCCTCCCACATTTGAATTCCTCACCGCCTGCCCATCCCTCCGGACCAATGGGAGTTGCCGCCCCTCCTAGCTGGCAAGTCAGACTGGGCTGGACTGGGGGCTGGACGCCTGGGTGCCTGGGAGGTTCAGGCCTGGCTCCCACTGGGCTTCTAGCTGGACTGAGCCTCTGGGGTGGGGCTTCTTGGGGGAGGGGCTGAAGGCCCACAAGAGGTCACAAGTGGCATCCCCCTGCCTTGAAGCAGGCTACCTCCCACTCAGGCAGAGCCAGCAGGACCCAGGGCTTGGCTCCTAGCCTGTCAGGGCCTGGGGCCCATACGGGGGCCTCATCTTGAGTGGGGTGTGGATGGGGGTGGTCAGAGCGACCAGCTGTTTTTCATGAGCCTGACAGGAAATAGCACCCCCATCAAGTTCACTCCTTTTGGCAGGATACAGAAGGAGCAGGACAGGGTGCGGGAGACAGAGGAATCGGCAGGGGAGGGAGGCAGACAGATGCTGGGATGTGGTCTTAGTCCAAGGGTCAGGCCTGGCTCCTCCCTTCTTTGCCTCAACTCTCCCTGTAGCTTAGGTACAGCCCATCTGCCCTCTGGGCCTTAGTTTCTCCATAGGCCAGCTCGTCACTCCGAGCTGGTGGAAAAGATGGGCTATGATGGTGAGAAATGTGTGGACAAGAAGAAAGGGGGTGGTCTCAAGGGGCCCTGACAGTGTAGGGAAAAGGGGTTGCTCTTAAGGGGCCCCAGAAGCCCAGTGACCTGACCTTGTCCAGCTCCTCCTGGTTGCCAAAGAGTGGATGGTAACGGCGGTACTTGCCCTCGAGGTATTTGGCCTCCAGGTGGCGCCGCCGGGCACTGGGGCTGCTGTGGGGCTGCAGGGCCTCACTGGGAGGCACGCTGGCTGCCCAGAAGCGGTTCCCGGCGCCATTGCCCAGCTGTAAGAAGAGCTACAGGTGTGGACAAGAGGTTAGAGACAGCCTATGACCAGGGGCCCCGTAACCTGCAAAATCTTGGTTTTGAGGTTGTCAGGCTTATGGCTGGGAGAGCCAGGCCACCCACCCACTCTCCCATCAGGGAAGCTGAGGGGCAGGCTGCTTGTTGGTGGCCTGGGGCGCTCCCTCACCAACCCTGGGCCTGAGCCCAACTCCTCAGCTCAGTGAAAGGACAAGAGGCAGACAGTCTGAAGGTAAACATCCCAGGCCTGGCTTCTGGTTGGGGGCCTTGCTACTTCCCCACCCAGTCCCACATCTGGAACTCTGCATTCCTGAGGCTATCACAGCTGGGGGAGGGCTGGCTAAGCTGACAGCCAATGGGGTGAACAGGGATTCTGGAACCATATCCTGTCCAATATTCTTCTAAGACATTCCCCAGGGGCTGGGTCTGCAGCTCCACCCCACATAGCTCCAGAATCCAGACACACCCCTGTTCCTGGGACAGAGCCCTACAATCACCACCTGGGCTCCTCCAGGGGAAGAGGGACAAGGGCAGATTCTGGAGGATTGCAGGGGTCTAGCATTCAGGACACTAGTTTTTCATTCTTTCACTGCTGATTCTCTGTTCCACTGCCATTTCCTGCCCACCTCCCCTGGCCTCTTTGTCAGGTCTTGTGTGGGGTGCTAGAATGCAGAAACAGTCCCTGCTGCTGCTGACTCACTTTGTGACTTTAGGCAAGTTGTTTTCTCTCCCTGGGCTTCTATCTCTGCATCTATAAACTGCAGACTCTAACCCTAACTCACAAGGGACGTGACACCCAAGTTGCTCTGGAGTCTGCAGCTGATCTGGGCTGTCAGTCCAGCCTTCTGTTGCAGGTTCTCCCCTGTAACTACCACAATCAGTACCTGGGAACCCCAAGTACACAGGCACAAATGTACATGTGAGTGTGTGCCCCTAAACATAGACCTCATATCCACCGGCACATGTGAGTAGAGGTGAAATGAAGTAAATAGTTTAGGTTTTGTAGGACACAAAGTGTCGGTTGTATAGTCTTTTTTTTTTTTTAACAACCCTTTAAAACTGTAATAACATTCTTAGCTCAGCTTGCTGCCTGCCAAAAATCAGCTTTTCCAAAATCCACACCCACTAGATGATCCCCAAAGGTCTCTTCTAGCTCTAGAGTGCTGGGGTCTGGGAGATGGAGGAGATGGGATTGGGAGACCCAGGCAGCAGCTAGATCCCCCAATACAGGTGAAAAGCAGGGGCCTCCCACCTCGATGAGTGTTTCTGTCCACACCTTCCTGTCCATCTTCAGGCTCCGTACCTTGGAGACGCCAGCACCCATGCCACGATGCTCCCCTGTAGACAGAGGGCCAGACTTGGGTCCTCTGGGCTGTTTCTTGCATAAAGCATTCACCTCCTTCCCTACTCCAACCCCCAGTGCTCATCCAGGGGCAGACTAGGAGAGGCCACAGGCAGGACCGAGGGGCTAGGCCTGCAGCTCCACCCCACACAGCTCCAGAATCCAGCTACAAACCACTGCTCCCTGCACCACAGAACTGAGTCCGCAGTCATCACCTGGGCTCCTGCAGCAGCCCCCCAGCTGGCTTCCTATGGCCAGTCTTGGCTCCCTGCAGGCCACTCTGAGCGATCTCCATCTCTTTAAAATGCAAAATCCGCCCTGACTGGTTTGGCTCAGTGGATAGAGCATCAGCCTGCAGACTGAGTGCTCATCCAGGGACAGACTGTCAAGGGCATGTACCTTCCAGGGGCTATGCCTGCAGCTCGGAGGTGTGCAGGAGGCAGCTGATCCAGCTACATACCACTGCTCCCTGCACCACAGAACTTAGTCCGCAGTCATCACCTGGGCTCCTGCAGCAGCCCCCCAGCTGGAATAAAATGCAAAATCCCTCCCTGCAAACCCCTCCAATGGTTCCCAGAATTAGTTCTAAATTCCTTACCTGCTTCTCCTCCAACCTCATCTCATGTTTCCCTCTATCCCACTCAGCCACATTTTCTTCCCTCTTCTAATCTTCCAGCCCCTTCCTGCCTCAGGGCATTTGCACTCACTGTTCTTTTTGCCTGGATTCTCTTCCCCCAACTCCCCAGGGCCTGTTCCTGACATTTAAATCTCAGCTGACATGGGGAGAGGGCTTACCACATATTTTCTGCCTAGCACTTCTGTTCGTTTGTGTATGTATTTTCGGTCTCTCCCCTCTAGAACGTAAGCTGCCTGAGAGCAGGAACCTTGATTGTCTGCTTTAGGGTCTAACCTCAGAGCCCAGGACAAAGTGGCACATAGTGAGCACTTCATAAATCTCTGTGGAGTGAAAGGGGAGGGGGAGTCGGGGCTGAACGGAATACAACCTTGCTCCCTACAGGACCCACAAAGGACCCGTGTAGAAGAGAGGGGGCTGGGGGCACTAGGAGTGCCTGGAACTGCCTGGCTCAGACCTGCTTCTGCACCCCAGGCACCTCAACCTCCATGAGCTGATGCTTTCCTAAGCTGGTCTCCAACCCAGTCGTTCCTTTTCTGCACCCAGATCTCGTAGCTCAAGGCCTCCTGGACGTCTGCCCTAGATGTTCCACAGGCTTCGGGGGTTTTCACTGAGCTCGGAAACTTTCCCAAACTGTTCCTCCCCCGGATCCCCACCTGGGCATGGCCAGCTTCGAAGGGGGCCAAGTCCCCAGCACCTGACACAGTGCCTGGCACATCACAGACCCTCAATAAATGCTGACTGAGTAGATGAATGAATCTTGAGTTCCAACCTCTTTCTTTCCCATCCTCCTCATCTAATCTGCATTGGAAATTTTACACCATAGATCCTAACCATCTCTGGAATGCTCTCCATCGCTTCCCCAGACCGGGCCTCCTCCTCCTCTCTCTCAGCTCCAGCAGCTGCCTCCTTACTAGTCTCCAGTGTCACTCCCTCTAACTCAGCTTCCCACCCTGCCAGAGTCTGTGGCACAAATCTGACCAAGTCCTCCCCTCTGCTGCCCTGCCCATCCCCCTCTGGATGAAACATCAGCTCCTCCCTCCACCTGGGCCCCTGCCAGCTGCTCCCTACATGGCCCTCCTTCCCACTCTTCTGAGGGGGCAGGGGGTGCTGGACCCCAAGAGGCCTGGGCTAAAAATGCACTCACTTACTTGCCAGAGGACCCCCAAACGAGCTATTTTCCCTGTCTATGCCTCAGTGCCCCACCCATGATGTGAGACTTGCAATCCCAGTGGGAGAGGCTTGGCACACAGGTGCACCTTAAACAATCTGACTGCTATCTTCACTCGTCCCTCCAGCCAGACAGACCACCTGCCACCAGACACATCAGCCCTGTCATGCCTTGGCCCAGTGCTCCACCCCAGACACACCTGCACAGCGCTTGCAGATGACGACACAGAGGTTGATGGAGGCCCAGTCAGGCTGGGCAGCCCCGCAGTCAGCACAGAATCTGTTGGGGGCCGCGGCCCAGATGCGCTCGGCCACCTCTGAGGTAGACAGGGCCTCGGCAATGGCTCCCTGCATGGCCTCCAGCCACTGCTCCTTCTCTAGTTCTGTTTCGGCTGAGAAGCTGGAGACATAGGAATGGGAGAAGAGAGGCTGATGGAAAGGGCTCAGAAGGATTTGGGGGCAGCATAAAGGGGCACAGCATGAAGTTGGAGGAGCAGGTGTTGAGAGCTCATAGTCAGAAGAGGGAGTCATCCTGGGTCGGTGAGGAAGACGGGTGTGACAAAGGCAAGGACAGTGAACCTGAGATGTATGAGGGCTGGCGGAGTCCCGAGGGGCTCTGTCCCACCCAGGGAGAAGGCTGCTGGGAAGAAATGATACCTGGCTAAGACCTGACAGATGACAAGGGCGTAGCCAGGTAAAGCGGTGGAAGGGTGTTCCCTCTAGACAGAGGGAACACCATGTGCAAAGGGGCAGGATGGCACATGGGAGATTCTAGGACCTGTGGGCAGGATGTGCAGACTGGCAGAGAGGAGGCTGGGAGACAGATAGGGACAGGCCTGTGCCAGGCAGAAGTCAAAATGCACCCAGAGGACAATGGAGAAGCAGTGGAGGGTTTCAGTGGGGGGGAGGGGGAGATGTCTTCCCCTCTGGCTCTTTCTTTCCCTTTTGTCCTGAAGTCGAGTGTTTACATTCACGATTTGGCTCCACCCGTAATCCACCGCCATGGCCCAAGAAGGTGTTGCTGCTGCAGATGTAACGGATTGCTAATGCTGCTTTATGAGAGGCGCTGAAGACCAGCCACCCTCATCCACGAAGGCCTAGCAGTGGAATCTGCGAAGCCACCAAGGCCTTAGCCAGGTGCTAAGCCCGTGTTCGTGTACTTGCATCCAACTGCATGAGCCTACGTATGTCAGGTTGGTGGACACCCTTGGTGCTGAACACCAGATCAACTGAATTAAGGCTGATGACAAGGAACTCGGTGAATGGGCAGGCCCTGTAACACTGACAGAGACGGAAAACTCCGGAAAGTGGGTGGTTGCAGTTGTGTGGTAATTAAGGATGATGGTAAGAATCTCAGGCCAAGGATGTCATCAAAAATTACCTCAAAGGCAAGAAATCCTATATAATAAAGAGGTTATATGCAAATTAACCCTCACACCCTCACAAGATGGCTGCCTAAGACCAGGCCAGCAGGGTGGGTTAGTTGAGGGACAACCAAACGACTGAACAGCAGGCTGCGTGGGGCGATCAGGCGGCGGGGGGGTTGAGAGGCCATGAGGGGTGACC